TGTGTGTTAAAAACTTGTTGAATAAAAATAACAATTTGAATGAAATAATTTATGAATTGGTCATTGAATTAATTGAGTTTTTTTAATGCTGGAATAAAAAACTGATGAGAAAAGAGAAGCGGATTGATAACAATGAGACATACTACAAAATTCCACACCATGAAATTTTGATGGCCTGGAACAAAAAACGTAATGCACAACAACATAAATACAAATGTTAGTTGAACTTATTTATAAAATATGTTTTGTTCAATACTTAATTAGTTCCATGTTTGAAAAATGCGCTGATAATCAAAACATTTTTTTGGAGGTAAAGTAATAATACAGTGTAATAGAAAAAGTCATGAAAAAATTATTAGCTACTCAATTTCAAATAGTATATTATGCGAAATTGCTCAATTGAGTGTGAAACGTATGCAAAAACCATGAGATATATTTCATTTACCTTCATATTATATCTTCTTATTCAAAATTTGTTCTGTTACAAACAATTGAAGGATGAGATAAAAAAATTTGTATGAATAGGATTCTACTTGATTTAGCATCGAACTCATAAATCCTTCAAAGAATTTCACATTTAGAGCATTAAGAATGAAAGAAAAAACTTCAAAGGACTTAAATTCTATAGAAGGATTTTTATACCATTCGATTTATTATATGAAGTTGCGCGTTTGATTGTGTTTTATTTTTCATCATTATCCTTTCACACAATACCGAATGAATGGAAATAATTTAGATATTTTAAACCGATTGATTATTCTCATTAGAATATTGCCTTCTAAAGATTGAAACATCTAAGCGAATGTGTATCATAGATTGTTTTTTAATAAATAATGTGTTTTATTAAGTTGTTTCGTTCTTATGTTACCTTTTTTTATTCTATCGTTATTTTCATAATTTATTTCATTTTTTCCTAAGCACTTCTTTTTTAATAATATATATATATATGGTGTGGAATTAGATATTTTGTCATTTATAATTATTTTTTTATTAAAGATTATTAAGTAAGTTTTAAATTCATTTGAGAATTTCTTAATATTTTAGGGAAAACATTATAAGGTACAACCAGGGTACAACTATAAACGATGCGCTACAAAATCTGAACCGCAACATTATTTTTACTATTTTTCATTGAATAAAGCTCTAAAATATTTCTTGAGTTCTTCTTGAATAATGGATGTACAATTTTTATTCTTTTCTTTGAAAACAAGAAGAACGAAAGAAGAATGAAAAACTTAGAGTGGAAAGAATAGACAACAAATAAAACGAAATTATGAATGATTTTTAAGATATTTATGGAATTTATTCAAATATTTCATTGAGTAAAAGAAAGAGTATTCAATTGATGTTCTTTCGAGATCTAGTTTGAGTACCTTATAAAATCTTTTTGGCGGCACAATGGTCTTTGAATTATAATTTATTAGCATATTTTACAGAGAGACTGTTTCAATAAAAATTCATTATTGTTTGATAAAGGACTGGAAATTGCATGTAATTGATACGTTTTGTCAATGCAACTTAAATCTTATTTTGCAATCAATTGTCATTATGAGAACTCTTCAAAGTTAACAGATGCTCTTCTACATTTTTTTTAACTTCTTTTTAAAAATCGAGATACTAGAACCGTTTCGTTTGTTAATCAGTTTAATTATTTTTTTAATTTTTAAGTTAATAAAATTATCCTTTTTTCATTATTTGAAAGGTAATTCAAAGACTTTGAGACACACTCTAACATGCCATTCTTTATGTCGTCTGTTGTTGTAATCCACAGAGTGTCCTTCAATCAAGATTCTTACCATCTGTTTTTTCCTCTCAATTGTGTCATTTGATTAAGCATAACATTAAGATCTTTTTTACTCTTACTCATCAATGTGAATGTTGTTGTGCCTTCTTCTTTCTTTTGTATATAGATCGATTTTCATTCTTGATAGGCATGTCCTTATACAGAATATGTCAGATGAATAAAAGAAAAAGGAATGAATGACGACTAGAAGCAATAGTTTGAAGATTATCGATTGACAAAAAAAAATTGTTCAACAAAAGAGAAAAATGAAATTTTGCGTGTCATGTTCAATGTTTTCTTTTAATATATCCTTTTTCTAAAGAGAAGGTACAATTTAAGGCATTTTTCTACTAATGGAAATACTTAAATTTTCATCTTGTTCAAGTTTGTTACTGTGTACAGGTTTTATTAGAAAATTTAAAAATAATTCTAACGATCACGCTAAATATGATAAAAATGTCACTGTATTTAGATTTAGTAAATTGTAATTCTCGAAAATATTTATACTACATGGCAACTTAAAAAATGTTTATTTAACAATAAAATTTAATTCAGCAATTGCTACTTGCATATACTAAGTTTAAAAAGCAGCATGAAAGATTAAACCTCTTAAAGTTGGTGATGTCGTCCTATTAATTTTCCAAGAAGAAGTGCGAGAAACTGGGATTTAAAAAATCGATAACAGACTTAAGTTACAGTAAGAAATTGCCAATTTTCTATTTTACTTCATTATGACCTTACACAATATGAATTGCTTTGTTCGTTTCGTAACAATACACCGTTGTTGTTTTTCTCTCATTTGAAAAATATGGAAGACAATATCACAAAAGTTGTTGAATAAAGAGATTTTTTTGTTTCTATGGTGTCCAATTCATTTTTTCTCTCCTGTTCACATTCTACAACATCCATGATAATATCCTGTTCAACTATTGTCTTTTAACTGTTTATCTCAAATACCTTCCATTTCGTGTGACAATTTCGGAAAGAGAATGCCTTTATCTTACATTTTCCTATTGAAAACATGCATGTTAGTTGTAAATTTTATCTGTTGTTTCTGTATTTTAGCATTATGAGTTCAAGTTACTAACAAAGAAAACATTATTCAAGAAAATAATATGAGACTTTATTTTTTCTTTTGCATTAAACTGCATTTGTGCAATGTTGTATGTATTGCTTTACTTGTTGAAATATATGTTTAATATAAGAATACTATCACAAATATTTTTAGTCAATGAAATAAGCTTTATTGCATATAAAAGCATTTACAAATTTTTAATAGAATATCTATAAAAAAAAGGAAACGACGAAGAAATAACAATGAAAGTTATAATTGACGATTAGATTTTTGTTTATGTTGTTTTTCAGTATCTCTTCACGTCTCTTTTATTTAACTTCTTTGTTTCTTAAATCTTCTCAATATATCCGAACACAAAAGATGAAAATAATTCAAATATACCAACACTTAGCATATGACACTTAAGTTGAATGGGTGAGTATGAATGAAAAATTTGGTAATGATTCATATTTTTTATTACACATACCGTCAAAGAAGACGAATATAATAAATATGAGAAAGACTTTTTGAGAAGCAATCATTGAATGGAATTTGAGTTGTTACTTACTTATTCAAAAAAATAAAAGAGAATACCAAAATTCTTTTAAGAATCTGAGGATTTATTAAATAGGGTAAATACTTTTGAAAATTGAACACTTTTGAAATTTGCACACTCATATGAAAATGAAAAATGCAAATTTCTCCCGAAATATCCACTTCTGATAATACTTTCTTCACAAAATCTTTGTATAATTATTGTACAAATGTTGTTGTACCATTTTAAGTTGTCTAAAGACATCAGGAAGATGAATTCCTTTAGCGATCAGTTTTTCATACAAAACGAAATTTTGCAAAATATAAAGCTTTGGGATACAATCAGTGGCTTTATCAAATATTTGGATATCAAAAAATGTAGTTCTTAAGTTGTTTAAAATTTTGAAAGTATTTCTTTTGTGAAAGAATAAGCGGAACTGCCCAAAAAATCACTTTTAAAAAAGCTTGTTTTTTACTTTTAAAATTTGCACAAAAATTTGTCGAAACTTTTGAAATTTGCACAGTTTTAAGCGTTGGAGGTATTGAAAAATTCGATGTAAACATTAATTTTTCGGATCCAAAACATTATTATGTTTTATGCCTGAAATAAAAATAGCGATGAATGGGACTGTAGGAAAATTGAGAAAAATATCCAAGAATCATCGGCGATTAAAATTTTACCGAAAAAAGAATCAAATTTTAAAAGTAGCAAGTGTTAAATTGTTTCTTAAGGATATATCCATGATCAAGCAAAGAAATGGCATTAAAATAAAATAATAATTTGCGAATTTAAAAATAGAATTAGTCTTTATTTAATGATGAATGATAGGATTAAAATCAGCTTAAATATGAGATATCCATTTCAAGGACTTGATTCTATAGTTTTACATATAATGGATCCTGTTTTGATTTCTTGTGCTTGACTTTTGAATTTTTTTCTTCAATTTTCCTATTAATTTTTAACGACGATGCATGTGACGATGTTAGAAAAAGAAATCAGTAATACTGTTATTAGATTTGAAAATTACCAGATGAAAATATTTTTTTTTCTTTCTGTTGAAAAGTTCCAAGCCAATGAAATTTTCATGTGCAAAGTTGTGCAAATTTCAAAAGTATTTACCCTATTAAAATATAGAAAAAAATTCTGTTTTAAAAAAGTCTATTGGCCCACAATGTGCTGACAGACACTTTTAAAGTTAACTGAGGCTTCGAGAAGTTAATCAAAGTTTAATTATAGTTATTTTTAACGAAGATGTTCCCGATGTGTCCCAGAAGATGATCTAATAATAGATGGAAAATTTCGAAAGAAAACATGAGAAAAATAATCTTACATCGTATGTTCTTTTTCTCTAGATTCATCTCATACTTTTAATGTTTTCAACTTATTATCTTTATGTGCTTATTAATGTTATTTTTAGATTAGTTTTAATATTTTTTATTATTATATAAATATATTGATTGTCAATTTTTAAAATATTCATCGTATTTATAGTATTTGGAAGTATCAGAGAATTTTTGGGTGACTTTACTAAGTCCGGTGAAAAAATTCGTGTAGGTAAACAAAAGAAAATTAAAAATACAAAAAAATATTTTGAGAAAATTAGGGATTTTATTATAAGCATCTGTTCAGTTCAGTCAGTCATGTCTAAGGTTAACGTTAGTATTATTGGATCTGGTAACTGGTGAGTTTAAAATAATAAATATTTTAGATGAATTAACTTGACTATTTAAGTAATTAATTAAGGGGTTCAGCCATCAGTAAAATAGTGGGCATAAATGCTAAGAGACTTACAGAATTTGAAGGTAATTAATTGAGGTACTTATCTATGTAGATTCAATAATGGTTAGTTTTTATTTAGATCGCGTTTATATGTATGTTTATGAAGAAATTATTAATGGCAAGAAATTAACTGAAATCATCAACGAAACTCATGAAAATGTCAAGTATTTACCTGGATATAAACTTCCAGATAATGTTTTTGCAACATCTGATATTGTTGAAGCTGCAAAAAATGCTGACATTTTAATTTTTGTACTTCCACATCAATACATCAGCCACATTGGATCCCAACTTGGTACTTAATATTTCAATTGATTAACTTGAATCAGTAGGTTAACCTTGTATTTTAATTAAAGCTGGTTTAATAAAACCGACATCAATGGCATTGTCTTTAACTAAGGGTTTTGAGATTGCAGAAGACGGTCGAATCGAATTAATATCTCAAGTCATAAGGAGACATCTTAATGTAAGTAATGAAAATGTCTATATTGTGCAGAACATTCAGTATATATTTTAAATTTAGATTCCTTGTGCAGTTTTAATGGGTGCAAATTTAGCAACTGAAGTTGCGGGAGAAAAATTTTGTGAAACTACAATTGGCGTAAAAGATTCAAAAATGGCACCAATTCTTTATAATTTATTCTCAACTCCTAACTTTCGTGTTGTAATCAGCGATGATGCTGATACTGTGGAAATGTGCGGTGCTTTAAAGAATATAGTGGCAACTGGTGCCGGTTTTATAGATGGATTAGGATATGGAGATAATACAAAAGCAGCTGTAATTAGACTTGGGCTCATGGAAATGATTAAGTTTGGCAATGTTTTTTATCCGGGTTGTCAATTGGCAACATTTTTTGAATCGTGTGGTATTGCTGATTTAGTTACTACTTGCTACGGGGGTCGAAACCGTAAAGCAGGAGAAGTTTTTGTTAAGCAAGGAATGAGTTTTACAGAAATAGAGAAGAATATATTAAATGGTCAGAATTTACAGGTAAAAATCTACAGATTTAAATAATGTTGGCTATTAAGTTCTAAACCATTCCTTGCAGGGTCCAGAAACTGCAGCCGAAGTCTATCATATGCTCAAAACAAAAGACATGGAAGATCAATTTCCAATGTTTACAGCGGTTCACAAAATTTGCATTGGAGAATTGAAGCCTGATCATTTTATTGAATGTGTTCGAGAGCATCCAGAACACATGTAAAACAGATAAAAATTAAAAGTCGATTACATTTATTATATAAATTGTTCAAAAGTCATGGAGAGACTTTCACACACAGTTAAAATTTTCATTGTAACTATCATAAATCTCAAAAAGTAGTTGTGAATGGAATATCTTCTTTCACGTAAAATAAAATCATCACATAGAATTTCATTCAAAATATCTACTTACTTACATTCATTCAGTTATAAATATATCGCTTTGAAGCCTTCTTATCTTATAATTCATTCAAAAAGGTCCTTCACAGTCTCTATTCATATTTTTTATATTGTGACTCACGTGGCGAAAGGAATGTAAAATATTTCACTAAGCAATAACAGACAACGCAGCGAAGCCATTTAACACCCGCTGATTCCACTTCCAACTAGTGATGCCCCGAGAAGAATTTTTAAGACACCGCCGATTAAATAAAAGAAACAATCTTTTTCTGGTATTTATAAATACTTTTTCGGATTCTTCTTAAATGTGATCGTACATAAAAAGTGTTTGATTAATATAACAAGGTGCAACCTCCAACCTGATGATCATTATTATTTTTATCAATACCTTTAATGTGATTTCTTGTCTTGTTGTTATTGTTGTTCATTTTTTATACACATACGTTTTAATCCACCATGAATTTACCAATAAAGTTCCTTTCGTATAATATTCAATTTGGGCCAAGAATGGTCCATACTTGATGGGAGCGCTTTTACTAATTATAATGAATTTTTCAACCATTTTCAACGTTTACATAAAATTTCATATTGAATGCGTTCTAAAACCTAAAAACGTGTTGAAACTGCCATTATTAACTTTCAATGCAATGCTGCCAACTTTTTTATTTGCAAATTGGATGATTAATTATTTTATCAATTATCAAGAGGATGAATACAATTTATTGGTATTATGTTGACTATTTAGCTGTCTTTTATGGCAATATTTAATAAATTGTCCGCATCCTCTTGCACGTTGTTCTTTCTGTGATATTTGCGATTGGTAGTTCAAAAAAGTATAAAGATTTTTTTTTCATGTTAATGATTCAATTGTTTGCTTGGCTTAATAGCAAAGACATTGTTAAGAATTGTTCAAAAGAATCAAGAGATTTAACGACGATGAAAATGCTATTCAAAAAATGTCAGATTAAAAATCATATTTGATGGACCATAAAACTGCTTTGAGAACCAAAATATGGTCAAAATTTGCCAACAAAAATCAAGAAATGAAACATCGTCAATCAATTGGTCATAACTTTAAATTGTAATTCTTATGTAGCACGCGACGAGAACATGTCATATATTTCAATTTGCAATCACACCGTCTCATGTGAATTAATATGAATCTATAATCCCACAACGATTTACATTCTGTACGGTTTGAATATGGAACACCACAAGGCTGCGCGAACACTAAAAATAATAAATAAATACACATAAAATATATTTCTCGCTAAAGCTGAACTTAAGAAATATTAAATTGCTCGTTATCAGGCGCGTATCCACGGGGGGAGTTTGTATACTTTCGGTGACAAATCCCCCCTCGTCAACATTTGCTAGGGTTTTGAGAAGAAATCCCCCGGTCAAATTAAATTCCTGGCTACGTTCCTGCTTGTCATAAAATAGGAAAATATTTGTGCAAAAAGGAATGCTTTTAATAATTGGAAGACAAAACGAATTGGTCATAAAATAAATAAAAACGATATTTGATAAACATTAAAATATTGATTGGATGCGAATATAAAAAGTCTTGAGATGTGGCAAAATTGTTGTGCTACGGTTTTATAGATGAATTGATATTTTATAATTATAATTAAAAATCTAAAGCGAGAGAATAGTTTTTTAAAAAGATAAAGCAAGTTGTAAAATCAATTTTTTATCTCAAATTGGACTTTAAAAATAACACAGAACAGCTGTAATTATCAAAACTAAAATAAAAATTCCAATACAGCAAGTCGCTATGCCTATACTATTAAGATAATATTGAAATATTTTCTAAAGAGCACTTCATAGCTTTATCATTTAAATTCGAGAATATAAGTGTCGAGTGTCCCTTTTAAGTATAAATTGATTTAATCTTGCACTTTATAGAACCGTATTTCGTTTGTATTTGTCATTATTAAAACATAATTTAAAAGTTTATTAGATGACAATGAATGAAGGTATTTTGAAGTGAATAAGTAAGTAAAGGTAGTAAGTGTTTAAAGAAAGGCTGGAGAGAAAAGAAAAGAAATATGTATAGCACATAATGTATACATAAATTTTGTTTATAAATCCAGTTTTTTATTCTTGTTTGCTGTTTTGATTAAAGTTAATTCCAATTTATTAGCCAATAAATTTTCTTTGTATGTTGTGTATAGCAGGCTCTGTGTTGTATATTTTTTATTGCGGGCATCTCATCTTCTTATTATTACTCATCTCTTTTTCCATAACTTTATTCGAATTTCTTGTTCTTTGATATATCAAAGATATATTTTTTCAGTTCAGTTAAATAAATGCCAACCAAACAATGGCATAATTCGAAAACAGACACTTGTGTGTGCTTGTTACACATTCATATACAGTTGGTTCATACCTTCGGGGGATGCATTCAATTCTTTTGTAAACACAAATACTGAATTATTAATATAAGTTTTTTTCTTCTCTTGGAAAAGAGATTAGAACCTTTTAACCTGTTCAACTTTATGACTTTTCATTTAAATTTTTGATCGTTGCAGGTCTTTTCTAGTTTAATCGATCAGTCTGGATAATTAAACATCAATTTTTAGATTTAATATAATTAATTTAAAAGAATTTAGACAAGCATATGCGTCACATACATTTTTTATTGACATAAAGTTTCTTATATAATTAGAACAAAAGAATAAATTTTTAAAAATAATGTACATACTTAATTAGTAATGAATGGCTGTTTAATACTTTTATGACCTATTCCAATTCTTAAAAAGGTAAGAAAGCAACAGATTTCATTCGTTTGCAATTTTAACTTCATATAACTTTTTTTTGCTTTGTATCTTAACAACAATAGATAAATTTAGAGGACAATAGATTTATTTTTTTGGTAATCAAGGAAAACCCTGCATTAACCCTTAAACTCTGAAAGAAATGTCTTTTTCGCTCCAAAATCAGATCAGTTGAGTGAAAACGTTTTAAGACATCTGGAATATGGATCAAGTTAGGGGTTAAAGACTGCAAGCATAACAAACAAGTCCAAATACAATCTTTTATTTTCGAAATCAAATGTTCTGTAGATAATTAAATCGAGCAAACCGAAAAAAAAACTTTAATTTATTTTCATGTTGTACACACCCTTGCGTTTATCTCTTTGATGATCGGTCATAATTTATATTCTTCTTACCTGCTTCAGCGGCTTCGCTAATTTTCCAAGGAATTTCATCTCTTCCTTCTTTTCTCTTTCAACTCTCGAATCCTTTTTGCTGCTTCTCAGGAAGAAAAATGTTGTTGTCAGAACAAGTTGAGGGTAATTTTTCCCATATGTATATATATATATATATATATATATATATGAATATATATTTATAGACAAAAAATTATAAGTCACAAGTATAGCATTCAAGTTTGAAAGAGTCTTAAAAGCATTTATCAAAAAAGTAGAATTAAAAGGATTAATAAACAAATTTTTTATTTTAATATTTCCTGACTTATTGATCCATTAATGTGGACTGATATACATATTATAAAAATAAGCCAAAAAGAGATATGACAACTTTATGAATAAATTTCATTCCTATGATTTTACAAACACCTCAAAAGGAACAACAAAAAAAAATACAGTCGACTACGAGCTCTGTCCCTGGCCATGATACTCAATGAGTACATACGAGCAAAGGTCTTTCGAAAAATAAAAATAAATTCATTGTTTTCGAATATAACAATCTTACTTAAATTAACTTTTTTATTAAGCATAAAGGGATACATTCACGCTTCAATTTTTCATTCAAATAATATTTTTTATCGGCATTCACGATGACGATTATTGTAAGGACTAAGGACTATTCAAGTCTTTAAATGAAATTTTTCTTTTTATTTAATAAAAGTATTCACAATAAATAATAGAAACAGGATATGACACAAAACTATGTATTTGATGAAGATTCATTAGATACAAAGTTAACACATTGTTCCATTGTTCAATGATTATTTTAGTTAAGAGCTACAAATTTAAAGACTAGAAAAAATGAGCAATAGTTGAAAAAATGTCAAAGTTGTCTTGCTTATTAGAAAACTACAAAAGCCTGTACCTCCTTTATTAAAAAATGTTAGTTTACCTCTACACTCTAAGAGAAAGAGTTTTACAAAGAATTTAATTTAAAAGTGTAACCAGAAATATTGATAGTTAAAATTTTTTGTTCCAGTTTTTTTTCTTTTTAAATTGTATTTGTCTAACAGTAAAATTTGCAGGTTTTGTAATGTGAATGAAGAAACAATCATTCATTAAAATTACTTACGATCGCAATTTAAAGTTGAAAATAAAACAATACATGTGACTGAGGAGTCAAATGAATCCCATAATAGTTTATAAAAAGGTAATAATAACAGAAGAATTGAAAAACGCATTTAAAATCAAATTGAACTTTATTTTCAAAAGGTTCACATGAGGGAGAAAGAAGATGTCGAAGAAAAAACAAGATCGCAAAAACATGTCATGCTGAATATCCTTTCTATTTCACAATAGATGAGTACAATAGCAGGGGTCTCTGAAATTACTCTTTGTTACAATTTTTTTTGTTGCGTTTCTCTTTTCATTGTCGATTAACCCCTCGCTATTTTAAATTAATTGAAAGAAAATTATCTTTTTCTCTTTTACTTATGCGAAAGAAGTAATCTGAAGTCCTTAAATCATACATCCATGTGACATTTTCTTCATTCTTTACGCTAAATCGAATGTGAAATGTTTTTGAAGTTATCGATTTTTAGAAATCTATCAAATTCATCCCTAAATATTAAATTGAAACTTTTTTGTGCGAAAAATTCGACCTTTTAGATCGTTCTCATAATTTTATAGCATAAACATTTTGTTTCCTTCAAAATTCAATTTTTAAACATTATTTAATAAACAGATCAAAGTAGATGAAATCTTACAAATAAATATTTATTTTTTTTGCAATATAGTCTTTGTCATTTTAAGTGAAAGAACTAATTTGAGCAAAAATAAATATCTCGAATGTATGATTCAAAACTCGATGTAAAAATTATTTGAAGTTATAAGGATTCATTTTAATTACAAAATATAGCATTATGCAATCACTGAAACGTGTTTTATTTTTCCTTTTAATGTATTCAATATAACGTTTCGATATGTCG